GCCTGCCGCTGCCCGAGAGCGTCGGCGGCTTCATCCGCCTCACAGGTGACCGGGGGGAGCGGGACCCCCTTCCCGCCCCGGCGGCGCGGTCGGTCCTGCCCGGGCTCCGGCTCCCGCCCCTCGCGCCGGGCATCGCGCGCTGTCTCCGTCACGGAACGGGGAACCCCAAACCTTAACCTGTCTCAGCAGCGGAACGACCCGGCAGACAGGAGGTTTGGGTGCCCTGGGAGGGAGGTGGGAGCTGTCAGGAAAAAGCGCAGCGATGGAGTGAAATGTTGGCGCTGTGCTTAAAAATTCCTCTCGGTGCCGACACCGGCGAGCCAGAGGCCGTGCGGCTACAGGGAATGGGATTTTAGCTGGAGGCCTGAAACGTGGCCTCGTCCTCTGCTTCACAGGTTGAAGACGGCCTTTGTACCCCGTTCAAACAACAAAAAAACCTCATTCTGGGAGCCTGCTACACACACAGAGTTAGTGGGTTTGGGTTTCTTTCTTTCGATTTAATATTTTTCGTAAGCATTTTCTGGGTAAGGGAGTGAAAATACCAGTTCGTTGATCGTAGCCCTGTCACAGCGAACAAGAAAGAAAACTGAACACTGGCGAGTGTTCTGGGTGTTCAGCGCTCTCCAGTGCTCTGCGAACTGTGGCTCCCGGAGCCCAGGCTCGGCTGCAGTAATACAGGCAGGACCTCAGGCAGTGTCAGCTGACAAGATTAGTTCGGTGGTAATAAATAAGAGGAATGCTCTCAACAGAAACTCACTGGAAGTAGAAAAAGTTTTCAAAGGGCAGAGTCAGCCTTGTATCTTGCAGCACTAAGGCATCTGTGACTATAATAGTGATGGAAAATTGTTAAATTTAGAACGGGCACAATTTATTTAAAGCCAGGTTTGAGTACTTTTTTTTTCCCCCAGCACGTTTATGCTGCTTGTAAACTGTAAATCCCATTATCTTTCTCAGGACAAGCAAACCTCTTTTGAATGAACAGTTCTTCTTTTTCCACCACTGCTCTTTCATTTGAAAAACTGTTAATTATATTTACCAAATAGAGAAATTCAGCTCCTACAAAGATGGGAGGAAGGGGATAAAATAAGCTACAGAACAATGCAGATTTGCCTATTCCTAGCATTTGTCAGTTTTCTACTTAAGTCATTGCCATTTTAACTGCAAGTTGTTAAGCTTGGTAATACTTTTGTTTCTTATTGCTTCACTTTTCCAAACATGTATTTCTGTAACAGCATTATTTGTGCAGTCTGTGTTTATTCACAATACATAGTAGTAATACGATTTATTCTGAGAACCTCTGAGAAGACATTCTGAAAACCCGTCAGGACTTGTTTGTTTGTTTGTTTTTCATAGAGTGATCAGTGGGGAAGAATGTTCTGCTGTCATATTATTTACCCCACTGACAGGTACTTTCTTGAATTTGGAGGGAGGGCAAGAAGCAAACAACTGATACCTTAAGTGGAGATGAAACATCGGAAATGTCAGTCCCAAAAATACTAAACAAGGGTAAAAGAAGGACCAAGTCAGAAATTGCTTTGAGAACTGGTAGTATTTAGTGAGCATACCTGAAAAAATTCCTTGCCTCAGTGATTTTTTTTTGACTGGACTCTAAAAATGGGAAATGAAGGTATAATTAAAACTACATAGCTATAGAAATAACATTTTTACAATATTTCTTTTTTTTTTAACAGTAAGCTAGAATAGTATCTGCTGTCATGCTTATACATCTTAGACATGCTTATACATCTCTTAGAGTGGATGTGAATGAAAATGGAAGAAAAAAAAGCAAAACTGTACAAGGCGCTTAAAGTAATGACACAGGGTAAACGCAACATGGTGAGACTTTCGAAAAGGAAATCGTAGGACACCTCATCCTAGGCACCTAAATTAAAAAAATATCATCTCTTAGTGCTTAAAGGTTATTGGAAGTCATTCAAACGTCATTGCTCATTGAAGAGTCTTGTGCTTACATGCACTCAGAGCTGCTGTCAGTCTTAAGTTTCACGTGGGAAAATGATTGCTTCAGCAAATGCTGCCTCTTCTCTTTGCTGTCCTGTCCTAAAGTCATAAGTATCTAAGAGCAGGGGATTCCCAGTCCCAGGGTTATTTTGCAGTGAATTACCAGTAGTGAAAGACTGTCAGACAATAGAGAAGATTAGATTAATGTTCTATTTTATGTTTACTACTACTACAAATTACAGAGTATATTCTTTGGCAAATGGCATATCAAAAATTTCAAGCATTTTTCTTTGCTTCTTTTTGGAAAGTGAGAAATAATATAGATGTAAAAACATTTAAAGTGCATTAGTATTTGTCCTTTCGTGGCATCTCTGGGGACCAGCAGTATAAAACACTTGCTAGCATAGACCTTGTTTGCAAAGGCAGGTCAGATCCTAGATTTGGAACAGTGCAGTCCTTTGCTTGTTAGCTCTTTTATTGCTTCTATAAACTTTCATTATCTTCCAGGCAGATGCAACCTCAGTTCCTGTAGCACATCAGTTGTAGAAACAACAAACCAAAACTATAAGGAGCACCTTTTTTTTTTATAGGTGTGTGTTATAGTGTGCTGATTAAAAATCTTGTCACTTATTGTTTGTTGTGACCTTACCAAAACAGAATGAAAAACTGCTTGCTTGAAGAGAAAGACTGTTAACATCTAATGCATAACTCCTGAAGGTAAATGCAATGAGGGAGGAAGGAAAGAATGTTTGACCTTGGGTTTGAAAGTGGATATCTAAGTTATCATGCTGCTGCTGTTCAGAGGCCTCTTTCAGTGTTCTGTCATAGCTGCTTTAGCCTTCCCTTCTCAAGTTCAGTCAAATGAACAGCGTTGTCTCATGCTAGCATTGCTTTTCATCTTTGAAGATGTCATTAAAATGGTACAAACGTTCACCTCAGAAGAGCAAACAACTGAACAGTTAGCATACATCTGCTTATTAGTTCTGAAGAAAATGTAATTAGTAAGTAATTTTAATTTGCCTGAAGAATTTAATCACTTTAGAGAATATATAATAACAGTTCAAATCTTCATTTTGTCTAGTAGCTGATATTTGTTAAGATTTTGGTTTGCATTTGAGCTGTTACTGTAAGAGCCTGGTCTTTGGTCTGCATAGGATCATTTCCACTGAAATCAGCTGAAACATAAATCAGAGTGAAAATATCAAAGGAGTAGTTGATGGAAGACAAGCAGGGAACACCTGCTTTGATTTGACTCTTAGTGTCTGGCCTGTCCCTGTCAGTTCACAATGTGTTTCTTATGTTGTTGGACTTGTTACTGTTGGACTAAAAATTACAACAACCTCTCCTTGAAAATGTAACTGTGGCCCATGGTCCGTGGCCTCAGCTTCTTGGAATTCTCTGGTCTCTGATACTTTCCAGAACTTTTCTTTGGGATCAGTCTCTGTCTAACACAAGATAGAAGACTAACCTCTTCGATATACTACTCTTCATTTCTGTCTCCAAAGGCTGTCTCTTCCCATGCAGCAGAACTGATAAAGGATCTCCAGAATCAATGTAATTGCTGAATTTTGAGTTGTCAGCTGTGAAAATAAAGTCTTGTGAATTGCCTTACATCTGCTTCAGAAAGGTATGAATGGCTTCAAAAACACAGAGCAGCTAACAGTTGTAGGAAGGCATAATTGCATTAGTTTGGGTTTTCTCTCACTGCTGCCCACCCAGCCCAAAGGTCTCTTACTTTTTTTACTTTGTCACAGTATCTTGTACCTCTTGCCCTAGAAGCATGATGATGTTGGTTTTTCAGTTTAAACACATGAACTTCTAGTAGTCTTTTAGCAATAACAAGTCTCTTTATGATTAGTGTACACATTGGTGTAATTGAGGGCTTTCCAGAGACTCCCAGATTAGAAATAAGCAAAGAAATCATTGGCTAGTGGGGACAACTATTTATCAGTAGTTAGCATGGTAAAAATGTTAAATAATAACTATTATAAATAATATCCTTGTACTTCCTATCCATGTTTGTTTCTAATTTCCCTTCTCAGAGGTTACAGCTATCATGTTCCTGTTTCATTTGGATGAACCCATCTGGATATGAGTCTCCCACGACTCCTGATTTTGATGTTGTATCAGGGAGTTTTGAGCTATATTGAGATCACAGAACCATTAAAACTGGAAAAGACCTCTAAGATCATTCAGTCTGAGATCACTGAGTCCAGCCTTTAACTCAGCACTTCCATATTCACTGCTAAACCATACCCCTAAACCAAAGTGCCTTGAGAACATTTCTAGGGATGAGGAGTCCACCACTTCCCTCAGCAGCCTGTTTCAATGTCTGACCACACTTTCAGTGAAGAAATTTTTCCTAATATTCAATCTAAACCTCCCCCAGCACAACATGAGGCCATTTCCACCCATCCTGTCACTTGTTACCTGGGAGAAGAGGCCTATCTCCACATGGGTACAACCTCCTTTCAGGCAGCCATAGAGTGCGATAAGGTCACCCCTGAGCCTCATCTTCCCCAGGCTAAACACCCCTGGCTCCCTCAGATGCTCATCACACTTGTGCTCCATTGCCCTTCTCTGGACTCACTGCAGCACCTCAGTGTCTTTGTTGTAGTGAGGGACCCAAAACTTCAGTGAAGTGATTACCGAAAGTTCTTGCAGTGCCTTTAGGATTTTTGCAGCTATAATGCATTTCCAGAGAAATGCACTAAGTGTGGCTGTAATGTCAAAGGCTATAGAAAACGCAAAGAACATAAAATTAGTCCCATGAAGTATTTTCATCACATGGTGTACTTCCAGAAAAATCAATTTCTTAAGAAAAATCCACTGTATTCCAACTGGAAAAGTATTAGCATAAGTGTGTGCTCTATTAGTTTAAATAAAATCAAGCTAAACACAATAATGTATTTTCTGAGAGCTACAACCCACCTAGCATCCTTAGCCTGCTCTATTGCATTTTCTCGTGCATCTTAATTTCAAAAAACAAACTGCAAACAAAAATTTTGCTATGTTCTGATCCTAAATAATTTAGAAGAGTAACTTGATTACAGTGTTGTATTACAAAGTGCTTATGCAGCTGTTTGTGCTCCAGCTTATTATACTTCTTTCTTTTGCTTTTTTTAAAGTATTTTTAAACTCTCTTCTGTATGAGTGTTTAGATTTAATATATTCTCCAGAAATTCAGAAAAATGCTATCAACCTTTATTTCACTATGGTATTTAAATTACACTGGAGTATTGTCACAGCATGTTTTGCTGGAAAAGTGGATCCACCTTCAATATATGTAGATCATATGCAAAGTATTGATGAATTTCTTAAAAAGTTCAGTAAGTCTTCTCTCACCAGTATACCTAGAAGATTTATAATTATATAGCAAGGCAGCCAAGCCTGCAGTGGATACTTGTATCTTTTACCTGTACTTAAAAGAGGTTCCTTACTGTGGTTAAAAGTAATTTCCTGCGACTTCAGTTACTGATTTCAAGTCTCTGAGTTGTAGAAACTTTTGCAGATCCCTGAGGAGAGGTCTGAAAAATAAATCCAAAAAGATTGGTAAAGGTTTTGCTAGTGTTTGCCTAATAATCTGTGTAATTTCTACCAAGTTTGTAAATAAACTTGGAACAAAAAAAATGATAAAAACTTCCAAGAAGAGCAAAACCTGAAATAAGCAAATAAAAATTCAATTAAAAAATGTATTGAATCATTTTTCCTTTACAGAATGTTAAGATACCCGCACTGAATATACTTACCACATGCAGCAATTTGCTAGTACAAGTGCTGCTTTACTGCAAGCGAGCAGAACCCCTGTAATTTTAGGGTTCCCCATTCCAGTAAATCTTTTATTTATTTTTGATTTATTCTCTTTCACTGAATCATCTTCTAGAGTCTTAAAATTTAGATGAATTTCTAGGAGTCAGATTTTTACTTTGCCTCTTGTAAACCCCACGATTTAATCTGTCTCTTCTTTCTTTGTAAGATTTACTCATGGAGTCTTGCTTGCCCTCAGAGCCTTGCTGACTGAGCATCTCCATTCCCTGCCCTCAGCCTAAGCCATTTTAAAAGTAGCTGACACTGCACTAAACTTAAGTGCCAATCTAAATCCCACCTGTCTTTAGTTTCAGAATGGCTGCGATTGTTGCCTTTCCTGGGCGTGCTGGCCCTGCTCGGTTACCTTGCTGTTCGTCCCTTCCTCCCCAAGAAGAAGCAGCAGAAGGATAGCTTGATTAACCTTAAGATCCAGAAGGAAAATCCCAAAGTAGTGAATGAAATAAACATTGAAGATCTGTGCCTCACTAAAGCTTACTGCAGGTGTTGGCGTTCTAAGACGGTAAGACATTGTGCTACTGTAGGATTAGAGATTGAAACTTGCATGTTTTTATCAGTGCTTTGGTGGTGAATGTTGACCTGTTGCTTTTCTCTGGAGGTGGGACATGTTCCTCAGTTTTGCAGAATGGCACAATTCTTATTTTTTCTCCACATACACCTATCTACATGCAGAAAGAAACTGTAGAAACTTGAAAGAAATGCAGTAGGGCTTTTCTGGAAACATTTAGAGTGACCATGTGTGAGCAGAATAAAACCAACCAGGCTTTGTTTACTGTTTTGAAATACATTGCAAATAATTAGAAGATAACTACTCTTATTTTGCAAAAAACCAATGCTTAGAAAGTTGTTCATAGTAGAGTGAAAGTAAGACTGGGCCAGTGTTGGTGAGAGAGAGCTATCCCCATGAAGTCCAGAGCAGTCAATGACTGGTTTGGATAGTCTATCCCTGAAATCAACCAGATGTTAAATAAGCATTTTTCCTCTAGCCTCAGTTTGAATTTCCTGATTCAATTTTGAATGTCCTGACTGCACTCTGGTTTTGTCCTCTCTGGACTGAATGCTTTCCTGTTTTAACAACAACAACAAGAAAATCTGCCCTGAACTGAAGAAACTTGCTCAACTATTCTCACTTTGGACTAATCACTTCAGCCAAGTATTTCAGCTTTTCTTAAAAAAGTACTTTCTGGTTGCAAATGATTAAATCTATTCAGACCACTTCCACAATAAATTTTAAACCATTTGTAGCTGTGATGGCTGCTCTGCTTGCTGTTCTGTCATGGAAAAGGGTTCATCCCTAACTTTGCATCTAAGAACAGCTATTTTAGGACCTCACAAATCTAGTGACCCATTAACAGTGTTTGTTTCCCGTAGTATCACATGTCCTCTGTCTGATAGGAGACAGAGTTTGATACTGAAACAGGACATAATAGGAGGAACTAGCAACATTATCAAAGTGCTCTTGGTATAGGAAGAAGTACAAAAATCACCTTGCAATTGCTGTACAGAGTTACTCTAATTCCTCGTGTCTGTTTTCTTTCAGTTCCCTGTCTGTGATGGCTCCCACAACAAGCACAATGAATTAACAGGAGATAATGTAGGTCCACTAATACTCAAGAAGAAAGAAGTATAGCAGATGTTTAATCCCTTAGATCCTGACTGGTAATAAGTCTTTTTATACCATTGTAGTTGCAAGGGGCAGCATTTATTATGTGATTGGTATGATTTAGTTTAATGAGTGCTGTAGATTTCTTTATGGAATAAACTACATTTAGACAGTGCTGAATTTGTCACTGTTTCAATACCTTATTCTGAAAAGAATTTTGTCTGCTTTGTAAAACTGTAAAGTACCTATCTCTGTAAATAAGTCATTTATTTCAACAATAAATTGACTTTCTACAACTAAGCCTTTTTTGTATGAACATGCAGTTATAAAACTGTCACTATTTCAAGTGACAGAAGTGCACTTTTCTGTTTGATTTTGTTCTGCTGAGAAGCCGTGTTTTATTTTGCTTTTCAGCAACAAATTTGAGTGCACTGCAATGGGGGAGAAAAAAGATACCAAATTCATTGTTTGTGAATGTATATTCAGGCAGGCAGCACAGCAGTGTTAAGTTATGGTAACTGAAGGTCTGGCCTGTGCAGACTGCCTGCGTGGGCAGTTTGTTAGTCTTATGCAAAGTAGCCCAGCTCAGACAAACCCCAGACAAACAGCTGGAGAGTTTTGTACAGCATCCTAGGTGGAGTGCTGCAGTTCCTGACTGTATAAAAACTAAACTACTGAGCAGGTCAGCCACAAACATTATCCCTTTGTTTCAGGCCCCTGTGTTGATTGTTCATGAGCTCTTGGGAGGAAACACTAATTTGCTTCATGCAAATTCACTTGCACTGTAGTTGCTACTTTTTGTAATGGGAACTCTCATGGGATGAATGGGTTAAATGACAGAACTATGGATGCAGAGCTGAGCTGTTCCCCATTCCGAATTATTATTTAGGCAAGTCAGAACTTTGCTGTGATGTGGCTTAATTTCAGATGCAGGTAAATAATTGCTACTTACCTAACTGCTAGACTTCTAATTATTCTGAAGTGCTTTATTCTCCCATGAAAGACTGTATCCATCAGTTTAAAAACAAAAATCTGATCCATGCTACAGTTTTAGACAGTTGTACTGAGGCAGATTTCAGCCATTCCTTAACAGCATTTCATTTGACCCATTGTTAGGCAGGTGGGAAGCCCCAGAGCTGTTGCCAAAGCTGATCACCACAGTGCTGTAGCAGAAAGCAAGTCAGAAAGCTGTTCTCACATAAGGGCTCTTGCAACAGCAGCAGAACTAAGGTAGATCATTCCTCCTCTTTTTGTAACTGTTGTAGTTCCAGGTACCAAAACCTCTTGCCTTGCAACAAAAGACGGCAGATTAGAATGTGATTATGTGTTCAATGCCTGCTTTTACAGAGTGTGTAACAGAACCATGGTATAACCTCTAATGTATTAATGCTTCATGGTGGTCTTATTTCAACGGATAAGCAAAGCATAAACATATTAGCATATAATATTTAAAATAGATAAAAATGTGTAATATTAGGTGTCTTATACTCAGTCTTCACTTAGAGAGGTATATTGAACACCAAGCCCCCATTCTTGGGTTTGGTGAAGAAGTTATTGTGAAATCCAAAAGCCTGTCTTTAGATTTCTTTTTTCAGGCTCTAAAATCCACAGCCCATTGCAGCAGGCTGTTATTATATAAAGCCCTGTATGTACTTCCATCTTTTATCAGGATACTTTTGTATTCAAATAATTTGGTTTCCTCTGAAATAAAAACCAAACCAGTTAAACTAAGAAAAACCTTGCTGAATTAAGTAATACAGAAAAATTGGTTTTGTTTCTCCCAAAAAGCTCCTCTAAAAGCAGAACGACAGTGTAAGGTTTAACCTCTTTACTCCACCTTTAATACAGCTCGATTGTGAAATAAATTTTTTCCCTGCCTGCTCTTAGAAGAGATTGCTGTTAAACTATCTACAAATGTGGCTATGGAATAAACAGGAGTTTGTTTTTTTGTGCTTATGTCTGTAATGGAATGGAACACATTTGTAGTGTTGCAAAAGCAGCACTCAGTTACAGTGCCTTTGCAGAAAGGATGTTTTAGTAATTTCCACAAGATAATAATATAACGACAATCACAAGCAAGATAAATCACCATTTCCTTGCATTTCAAAATCTGTCAAGGTAATACTGTCTCATGGACACAGAAATTTCTGTAGAAAATCTCAGAGAATTTACTAATCAGTTCAAATCATCTACTTGAAGTCTACAGAGATAGATAGCTAAGAGCTGAAGGGCCTGCAGCGCCCTGTATTTCACCAGCAATAGAGCGAGTTGAACCAATTACCTGACTTCTCTAACCTAATTTGGAAGCTCCACACAGAGGGATAAATTTGCCTTGAAGGCTAATAAAGAGCAGAACTGAGGTAGTGGACTTGAGAACTGAGGTCTTCACAGTCTCAATAAAAAAATCAGGAGAAACTGAAATTGGCATATTGTGACATATCTTTTTACTCTACTAGAACAGTAATGTTTACCTTTCTTTTGATTATAATTTGAACAATAGTTAGATTAAGCTACAAATAATCTTGCAAGTTTAGAGAAAGGTGTTTGTCTTGTGGCAACTATTAGACAAAGTAAATGTAATTGAAATGCAGCTGACCCAAAATTTATCTCTTTCACTCTGTTTATTACAAAAGCAAAATGCAGAAACTTATCATTGTTTTTTGGCTGTATTACACCATGACTGTTTCACAGTTAATTTCAGGCTTCAGTCTAAATTCCTTAAAAAACTGGCTGAAAAAGAGAGAGTAAGCAGTGATTATAATTACATTATCACTGCATCCCCTGGCCTGTGCAATTCCCTGCTTCCAGATGGCCAATTTCTGTCTTTTCCCATATGCTGCCTACTGTAACTCTGCCCAATGCTGGCTGCCAGGAATGCTGTCAGACCTTCTGCTGCAGAGGTTCTTCTGAACCTTCTGGAACGGCACGTTCAGTACTCTCCCGCGCTATGCCTACGATTGTGTCTGCATGAGAGCGGGATTCCTCTGGTTATCAGTTACTGCACACTGTGCTCTAATTTTATTTCCCGCACATAAGAGACTGGCATAGCATAAGGATTCTCTTGGCTTGAATTTATGCATTATTCATCAGTGATTTCCCTGGCGTTTTGTTAAAAGGGAGGTGGTCTTCAATGTTACGATTCACCCACATAAAAAGATAAAAAGTGAAATCGTATCTCTCAAAGTTAACAGCTATTTAAAATCGGCTGAAATTGTCACGATACTTATTAAAAAACACAGTGTTATGGGTTCTTAGTCCTCATATAAGATTTCTTTTCATGACGAGATGCAAGTGTTTTCTTCTTTTCTGGAAGGTAAGGAGAGGAGCATTACAAAGCTTTAACCCTTTTAGTTTTAGATCTGCAGGTCTATGTAATAGCTTCAACCTGAATCTTTCTGAAGATTTAATAAAAGCTGGGGGAAAGGACCCTTGTGAGAAATATCCACATAAGGTAGCAAAGAAAGAAAAATGCATGCAATTTCATTTAGATTAGCAAAAAGATGACACTTTTCAGTGGTATAGCTATTCAGGAACTCAGAATGGTGGAAGTGATCTAATGCATAAATTGAAAGTGCATTGAGGTTAAGGGGACATGGTAAATCTGATTTATGAGATGCTGTTATGGTGGTAAGGTTATCATGAACAAAGGCTCTTTGTCAGAGGTTGCACGCTTAAGGTTGTGTCCAAATTTAAAGGGCTGTAATCCTTACAACATCACACTTCTGTTATCGACCAGATTCCAAATTTGGCAGAGTGATCTCAGTGGGAGGATTCAGCTTTTTATAAAACTTTATGAAAAAGTGAACTCCTCAAAGTTTTACTAAAGTGGAATTATTTTACAGACAGTCTGAACTGAACACTGTATTCCCTCACCTTGTCAGTTAGGTTTATAGACAATACAATTTCAAAATACAATAACCTTCTATTAAAACCACCCCTATTTAAGGAACAGAGTGCCTTCCCTTAGCCATGCAAAGTAGGCAGAACAGGCACAGAAGTCAAGGGATGACACAATAACCACCAAGCACAGCACCCTTAACCATTCATTGGTGCACAGTTTGAAAGCATCTTTTCAGGTCAGGAGACAAACATGAACTGAACTGAAGATGGTACATTCCCAAGGAAGCAGAGAGAACGGCAGTGTGTATAGTAAAAAAAATACCAGTGTACTTGACAACTGTTAGAGGAAAACTTGCCAAAGAATTTCCTCGTATTTTTATCACTGTGCTGGAATTGCAGGCTATGAACCTTAAACATTTCTCAGGAAGCTTTCTTTCTGCCTTGGAGAGGAAGGCATATACAAAGGAACACATATTGATCTGTAATTAATCTGTATACAGAGGCATGTGCGACACTCTGCAAACAGTACAGTTTCAATATTAAAAGTACTGAAGTAGTTAAATGCATTTTTGTACATTTTTGTTTTGTGTATTAAAAATGTAAAAGTTAAAACAATTGGTTAGTTCTTACTAGTGCCAAGATCTAGACACATCAAATATATTTTATAGAGTATTCTGTAAAATGAATTCAGAGAACTGTAGTGTAGAAATCTGCTGGGGGGTGTCATCCCCCTCAATTACAGGCACAATACAGCATCCTTTCTAAAAAGTAACAAAATAACTTCTAGTTTCTGAGGGATGCCCCAGAATGGAGCTGGGAACAACTTACTTGGAGCTCGTTACTTGTAAAAAACATAGCAGAGGAAGGTAGATTTGCTGGTATCTGTCAAGTGATAGCAAAGCTAAAGGCAAGACCAGGAGTTTGATCAACAGAGGAAGTTACTCCTGGCTTTAGGACAGTAAAGGAGAAGAGAGAGGGAACTCTACTGGGAATGGGAAAATCAAATGTGAACTATAATGCAACTGACTGTGCAGGAGGCATTTAATTTAAATAAAATGAAGAAAACTGCACTTGACCTTTTTGCTTCCCCTGCTGAAATATTTTAGCAAGGTATTTGACACGAGTGTTGCCAATCATTACCATGATCCACAGCCACACACATCTTGTGTTTCTGGAAAGACCCACAGGATCTGTGTGTACATGCAGAGGGTGGTAGTGCTGTGTCTAAACACTGCTTGCTCATGACACCTGCCTTCCCCCAGCAGCCTTCCTGAAAGTAGGTGAGAATGAGGCTCCTTTTGCTTTGTATCATCCCGCTCTGCACTGCCATTTTCAAAACTGTTCATTTAAATTATATTAGTTTTCTGCATCAGTCAGGAGTAAAAAATGCCCTGACAAATCTGAGAGCCCTCCAGTCTCCATAGTCAATCCAGCCAGCCACCTCTTGGAAAAATGAGCAC